GACTCTAGGGATCCTCCTCCCCCCTCCTCAGTTCCGCTACTCAAAGTGCAAAATGAGTCAAAGTGTAGTAGACACACACCTGGGATACAGAGAACTTGGGGCTGTATTTCAGTGCTTATTTCTTAAGAAAAAAAAAAAAAAAAAAAAAAAAAAGCACAAAAAAGCAAAGACTCATTTCTCCCTAAAATAATTAATTCACCCATGCAGTCAACAAGAATTCATTGAACATCTCTTAAGTATCAGGCTCTCGGGAGGCATTAATAGAGGAAAAATGAACAAGAGGGGAATCTATCGTGCTTAAGGGGGCTTCAGTGAGGCAGATTGGGGTTCCAGTCTTGTCTTCATCACTTGAAACTCCAAGTGGAGTGACCAGAGCAGGTCACTTCACCCCAGTATCCTATGTCCACAGGATTACAGATGTATTTATTGTGAAATTTCAGTTAAACTGTATACAACACAGTGCTGGGCTTGGCACCTAGTTGTGCCAATATTAATAGAAAGTGGTGGTCACTAGCATTAAGAATGACCTTCTGTCCTCAATTGCCCATCAATCTCAGGGAAAACCGTGGTCACTGAGGTCAAAATAAAATGTTTTTGAAGAAAACACTAAAGTCAGCAACAGCTCCAAACAATAACACAATCACGGAAATCTGGCATTTCCTCTGGGTGAAGGAATCTTAAAATTCTGTTCCAAGAGCCCTGCAGGGAAAAACACTTCCAAGATAGGATGTTTCTGCGGGTTGCCTCGGAGCTGGGGGTGAAGGGTGAGCAGGTCACTCCATAACTCCCTCCCCTTGTGCTCCTCTTACTTCCTTAATAGATTCTCCACAGAAATAAGTCCCTAATGCAGAACAGTAGGTGAGAAAGAGTTGTGCCAGAGCTGCACAGACAACACCGCATTCATTTTTCCTGCTCAGAAAGCAAAAGCAGAGGTTCATTCATTTGTTTAGACCTTGCAGTCGTTTCAGTCAGATACTAAAGATGTGAGGAAAACGTGAGTGAATTCTTTTATCCCCACCTTAACTGTGTGCGCCGGTTCCAGAGCCATACTAAGAATAGGAGGCAGCAACTATGGTCAGCACCCTCCTGACCATCTAGAACACCCTCCCCTGTGCACACTGGCCTGTCAAATACTCATCAAAACTGCGACTCAACTTTCAATGGTAGTCTCTTCTTACAAAAAGCAGAAAGAAATTGAGAAAGATCCCAGATGTGTTTGCTAGGGCTCCCGTAGCAAAGACCCAAGGACTGGGGTACTTCCACAAAAGAAACCTATATCACTGTCGTTCTGGAAACTAGATGTCCAAAGCCAAGGGGCCAACCAACTTAGGTCATTTCCAAGGTCTTTCTCCGTTGTTTTCCCATGTCCAAAGCTCCTATTATTTTAGGAGGACACTGCCTTTTTAAAGGCTCAATCTCAGACTAAGTCACAGCCTAAGGAATTGTGGCATGGGACCTCAACGCATGGGTTTGGGGGACTCAATTCAGCCCCTAACAAAACCCACTTTTACTGGACATGGGAGGGGGAGTCACTGATAGCAGTTTTCTGAGTGAAAGCTTTTGGCCACGATGCCCACCAGTGACTATTCCAGATGATGCCTTTCAGAATTTCATTTTCATGGGCGACTTCAATGCTGGCTGCAGCTATGTCCCCCAAAAGGCCTGGAAGAGCATCCGCCTGAGGACCGACCCCAAGTTTGTTTGGCTGATCAGGGACCATGAGGACACCACGGTGAAGAAGAGCACCAACTGTGCCTATGACAGGTAGGCCAGCCCCTGCCTGCAGCACCAGGCTCGGTGTGCCTTAGAAAAGGGCCCCTGGCGTTGAAAGTGCTTGGCTATGAAAGCTGGGTGGGTTGGACTTCAGGTCCCTCCAGTGGGAGCTATGTGCAGTGCATAAGCTGCATGACCTTCTATGGCGACCGTGAGCCATATGATGACACTGTACCTGAGCAGGGAAAAGCTCAAGCTTTGGCATCACACAGGTCATAGATCTGCCACTTATTATGTCTATGATCAAGAGACTTAAGTGTTCTGTGCCTTCACTTTCTTGGTTGTAAAATGGAGATTGTGGTTGTGCCTCGCTCATAGAAAGACAGAGGATTTACATAGAAAGAAACATGTAAATATTCTAATGCAGTTCCTGGCTTATGGTAAGTGCGCAGTATAGTTAGGGGCTGCTAATGGTCCCTTCACAGTGATATACCACAATTTACTCACCCAATCACCATTGGGTATTAGGTTGTTACCAATTGGTTTACTGGTAAAAACACTGCTGAAGGGCCTCACTAGTGGTGCATGGGTTAAGTCTCAGTACTATGAAGCCATCCCCAGCCAGAGTTTTATCCCCAGCCAGGGAGCTGACCCACATGGAGCAGCAGACCTCTCCAGTCTGGCCCTCTGCTCCCCTCAGCAGTGTACTTCGACGATCTGCCTGCTCTGCTCCCCACTCTGTCTCTGGTGAATCCTCTCACACCTCTGGCCTGCACCCCAGCTCTTGTATACAAAAATAAATCACATAAATCTTTAAAAAGACAAAACACTGCTGAAGCAAATGCCCTGATATGCATTTGTGCATTCAGTTATGATTTCCTCAGAGTAAAACTCTGTGACACCAGTTAGTGGGGGGTATTTATACTTTGAAACTTTTACTAGACGTTCCTAAACACAAATACACACATTTTCATACTAACATTCATGTGTGTTTGTAAAGGCACTAGGATTTTCAATCTGCTTTCACCATTGCTCCTTAAGTCAGGAGGCAGGTGATTGGAAGTGCCTGGAGTTCATGAATGTTCAGAGTGGACCCTCTCCCAGCAGAGACCACAGGCAGGGAAGCTCCTAGAAGCTCTGGTCTTGCATGTGGCCCCAGTTCTCAGATTCAGCATCTGTTGGACAAAAGATGGCTATTAGCAAGGTGATCATTCTCACAGCTCTAGTTCTGAGGTCCGGCTTTTATTTTCTCACTGTGACCTTGTTTGTTCCTCTATGAGCTTTCAGGGCAAGTGTGTCCTTTGCAGAATTCATTACACAAACTCTCAAACGGGGAAGCAGTGAAAGGCAGAACCAAAGTGAAAGTTACAGGAGACCGAGCTTCCGCAGGCCTAGCTCCCGCTCCTGTTTTGAGGGGCTGCCAGCAAAGCTGCTTGGACTGGCCACACATACATGCCAGTCATGTGACCTTGGGTAGGACAAGTCCTTTCTGCCACCCTGTTCTTTTCCCTTGGCAAAGAGGGAGAACAATGAGGCGGAAAAACACTGAGTCATTGAGAAAGATGTTCACAATGGATCTGGTGGGATGTACAACAGGTTCAAAGGACCCTGATTTAGGTGTCTGCCAAAGGGTGGGATTACATGGGATTTTTTTTTAAAGATTTATTCATTTATGTATAAAGAACTGGGGTGCAGGCCAGGGTGCAGGGGTGGTGAGAGGATTCACCAGAGACAGAGTGGGGAGCAGAACAGGCTGACTGACAAAGTACACTGCTGAGGGGAGCAGCGGATGGGTCAGGAGAGGTCTGCCACGCCATGTGGGTCAGCTCAGGGGTGGGGATTGAACTCATGCTGAAGTGGCTTTAGCTTCTTAGTGCTGTGGTTTAACCTGTTGTGCCACTAGCGAGGGCCTACATTGGATTTTTAAAAGATGAATATCGGCCCTCCCTGGTGGCACAGCGGGTTAAAGCACTGCACTGAGAAGCTAAAGCCACTTCCACATGAGTTCGATTCCCGCCTGCCCCGAAGGTGACCACATGGTGTGGCAGACCTCTCCTGACCCGCCCGCTGCTCCCCTCAGCAGTGTACTTCGTCAATCTGCCTGTTCTGCTCCCCACTCTGTCTCTGGTGAAGCCTCTCACCTCCCCGAGCCTCTGGCCTGTACCCCAGTTCTGTATGCATAAATAAATAAATCTTTAAAAAAAAAAAGATGAATATCTAATTTTGCTGCTCTGAGTTTCCTGTTTTCCATAATAGCACATACCTAGTGTGGTTATTAAAAAGGAAGATACACATTTATAAAAGGGAATTACTTGAAGTGCTCTCAATTCCAGTTTTAGTCATGTATATATACCAAGCTCCTGGGGAGGGGGGAGGGCTGGGGGGTGTGGGGATGTCAGGAGCTGTTGGTGCTGCAAGGTGCCTCAGAGCAGCCTCAGAAAACTTCATGGGACCTGCCAGGTGGGGGGCCACCCCTCCTCCCCCGCCCCCCAGAGCACAGATCTGGAAGGAGAAGTCAGAGCTCTAAGACTTCACTCTATTGATCTGGACTCTCAGTCCACAAGGATACTTTAACAAATCTCTACCCTGCTGTGAAATGTAAACTCATGGGTTGAGTTAGAAGTTAGCCAGGGGTGTTGGGAACCAATACAGGAAACAGTGGGAGTCAAGGACAGCTCAGTGGGGACTCAGACAAGGGAGTTTACACACCTGGCTGGTCCTCAGTCAGGCTGCTGGGAGGCTGTTAGGCCCAGCCTGTGGTACCCCACCTGGGGCACATTAGGGCCCCTGTTTCCAAGACTCATTTAATGACCATGTTCCCATTTTTTGTCACCACAGTGAAGTAACTGTACTATGATTTTTCTCTATATTTGTCTTCAAATCCATTCATTTCTTACTGAAATAAATTTTAAAAAATAATATAATAGTTTATTTTTACATCATTTTGTGCCTTTTTCCAACTCAGTTGTAATCCCCGTGGGCTTCCCATCATCAAATCACCCATGTGCTCCATAGTCCAGTGCACCATAGTCCAGTGCTCTTCCCTCCCCCTACCATTTTTGAGCCTATTCCCTATTCCACCCCCGTAAAATTTCTATGGTATCTAGTTGTTCATTATTATTATTTGAAATAAATTAACTTTTAAAGGAAACTTCATAACATTATGGTAAGAAACAGCATCATGTGCCATAAGTTGCAGAGAACTGGAAAGTAAGTGCAATGAACACTGAACAATGATGCAGTCTGCCTCAGGTCTTTTGCCCTGGAATGCCTAGTAGTTACTGTCTGCTCTCCCTTGGTCAAAATGGGACTTGGGAGGTATTAAAAACAAACCAGCACCTTGCTCCATGAACAAATCATAAAAGTGACGCACCTGCATGACATTCTCAGCAGGCACGTCACTGCCTATAATGTGGTGCCATATTCCAAGAAATCTCGAGCATGAGGGTCACCTGCTCTCACCAGGGAACACTGTCCGGGGCCCACAAAGCCACAGCAGAAACTGATCCTATTTCCCAACCTAAGGGTCACAAGCTAAAGCTTGGTCTGGACTTTGAGCACCACGTGGAAAGGACCAATCTGTTCAGTTAATTCCACATGTTAAACGTAGGACTTAGTTCCATCTCAGAAATCAATAGGGTAAGTTAATGTGTCTGTCTTAATGTCTCCAGGATCGTGCTTAGAGGACAAGAGATCGTCAACTCTGTGATTCCCAAATCAAACAGTGTCTTTGACTTCCAGAAAGCTTTCGGGTTGACGGAAGAGGAGGTAAGACTGCCATATTGTCCAGGGAGGATGGTCAGTGTCACTCTTTGAGTCCACCACAGTATTGGACCATTGGGCCTTGAGTCTCAGAGCCTAGGAGCTGATAAAATTTCTGATGGAGCTGGCCCAGAAGTGCTCACCGGTGCATGTTCTGTGAGGCAGCTCACCTTCCCTCCCTGAGGCTGAATTTACTCATCACTAAAATGAGAGCTGCTTCTAATTCCCAAACTTTTTCTCTTTACAGGCCCTTGATGTCAGTGATCACTTTCCAGTTGAATTTAAACTGGGGTCTTCAAAGACCTTCACCAACAACAAAAGATCTATCTCTCCAAGGAAGGGAAGAAAGGTCAGCCGCTCCTAGATATAAGGGTCTCATTTTGTTGAGCATTTCTTGCCTTGAAATAAAACTGCTCTGCCAATGTGAACTGCTCCCTATACCCACAGTGTGAAATGTTTCCTGCACCCAGAAAATAAGACTGGCCCAACTGCTTTCAGCTTTCAGCTTGAATCTGACCGGCACCAAATTGGGAGGAGAGTCTTTTATGAACCATCTTGGGCTCATGTCTCCCCTGAATTGCCCAAAAGGAAACTGGGGACTTGTGCAGTTCAAAGGGATGGTTTTCAAATCCTGAGCTGGAGTCCCACCAGCTGTTACTGCTGCTGCTGCCCCTTTGCCATGAGAGAAGCTGCAGGAGGAGCAAGGACATCAGCTCTAGGTTGCCGCCGACCAGCGCAGCAAGAACAGGAGACAGGTTTCGGGGATGGCAATTCTGGCACAGGGTGGACAAGGATTCGGTGAAATGAATGACAGACAGACATGACTTCTAGGAGCGCATATCTGAATGTGTTAATTTTTTTTTTTTTAAAGATTTTATTTATTTGTGCATACAGAACTAGGGTACAGGCCAGAGGCTTAGGGGCGGTGAGAGGCTTCACCAGAGACAGAGTGGGGAGCAGAACAGGCAGATCGACGAAGTACACTGCTGAGGGGAGCAGCGGGCGGGCCAGGAGAGGTCTGCCACACCATGCAGTCACCTCCAGGGCCGACGGGAATCGAACTCATGCAGAAGCGGCTTTAGATTCTCAGTGCTGTGCTGCTGTGTTTTAACCCGCTGAGCCACCAGGGAGGGCCCTGAATGTGTTAATTTTTAAGAGTGCAAGGTATTTATAAAATTTTTCTTGGCAAGCAAATATAGGGATACAAGGATTTTTTAAATAGAAGCGTGACAGATAATGCATTTCCTTATTGTTTCTGAGATATGGTCAGGGACCCGAAAACATCCTGGGGCCCTGAGAAACCACTGTGTATTCAAGGTTCAGTGGTGCTAGATTAATGTGGTAAACTCTGTTTATCACCTTTGCCTTTCTAATCCTTTTAATTACTCTCTCCATTCTTCTCAGAAACCATCTAGTATACAAGAGTTAATAGTTTAGAAGAATTAAAGATTGTAGAAGAGTTTCTCAAAATTAAATCAGTATCTAGAACAGAGGAAGTTACATTCCTTTCAAGAGTCATTAGAACGAAGCACAATGTCCATAACATTTCTCTGGTTCAGTGTGTTGTGCATCATCAGAATCAGGAAACAAATCAAAAAGTACAGTGACCATCCGAGGATCAGCCATCCTTCTATTCCTGGAGGGCCACGTATTCCTCCCGTGTGCCCGGTCCCTTGACCATGCCAAGCTCTAAGGATTTTCTCACTTAGGCATGGCGGGAGGGGACGTGGCACTTGGTCTTCAGGAGGGGGGCCTGTTCTCCTGGAAATGCCCAGAAATGCCAAGGGCCCAACTGCCCTCCATGCTTTGGACAAGTAACTCTTTTAGAAATGTGTTCTCTCCTCTCTGAGGTCAAGGCACTGTCGTATCTCTTAGGGATGGAGGATAAAGGCCACACCCCACTGGTCTCCCTGTTTCTGAATTATCCTCCAACTCAGTAACCACCAGAGTCACTTGGAAATTCCACTCTGACTACAAGCCACTCTGCTCCCAGCCTCTGCTTAGGAACCCCATGGGGCTCCCATCAAGGGAAATCCCAGTGTGTTTGGGCCCCATGAAGGTTTCTCATACAGGTTTACGATGCCAGCCTCCCCAGGCCAGTCTCCACCCTACACTTTACCACCAGCAGGCCTTCTCCTTCCCTGCACACTCCCAGCCTTTCCTCCCAGGGGCCTTGGCTCCACCCTGTGCCCTGCCTACATCCCAGAGCCGGGGCTAAGTGCCCCTGCCCCCACATCGGCCTGCCCTGAGGGTAACAGCCGTTGTACTTGTCACCAAGGTCAGTATCAGGGCTCCTTGGAGAACATGCTGTGACAAAGGTCCAACTGGATGACAGGGGCTGGAGCGTTTTTTATCTTCAGTCCACCAAGCATTACAAAGTCCAGCGACTTGGCACCACCCATGGTGACCATTTTTGTTTGTTTTGTTCTCCCTCGTATGATTTCTTGCTTAAGGAGGAAATTGTATAATCATGCAAACAGTTCCAAAGAATAATCAGCAACAGGAATGGCCCAACCTGAGGTGGTTGTCTAGCTGAGGTTACCCCTTACCAGCCTGTTGTTCTTCCAGAATCTGTACATAAGCAAGCACTCTCTGAACAGTACGGGATGTAGTATACCACATGCACAGTTCCACACCTTGCTTATTTTCCTTAAGCTATCAGGGACTGTGTGTTTTTTATATAAGAAAATAGAGCATAACCTGATTCTTACTATTTGGTAACAGCTAAAGAAGTAAAATAAAAAATTAAATGGGGGTGGGGATCATTTTCCCTGAACTTCCCACTTAAATTCTCAGGTGTCTTATTGGAACTAGAGGAGGGTGGTAAGGCTGCTAGGCTCTATGACTCCCTCTTCTGAGCAGGGTCCCTGGTCCCCAGAAACCTAGCCCCCATGATCCGACACGGCCACACAGGCAAGTCACAAATAAGCTGATTTGGGTGAAGGGATCAAAAGGCCAAGGACGAGCCTGTGCTGGGAGGCCCATGCAGGGGAAGGTGGACCAGCCTGGCCTTGGCTTTGACCTTGGCCCTGACCTCATCCTGCTGACATTGGTTGGGAGAGGTGTTGGGTTCAGAGAATGGGCTCCTTGGGTTAACTCTGGGAAGAGCTTGCCCAGAGCTCCCCTTTCAGTGGCCTATGGCAATTTTTGCCACGAGTTTTGCCACGAGGCAAAAGGGCAGGCTTACAGAGGAGAGAAGAGTAAAGGAAACTTGCGCAGACGCACACAGACAGAAAGAGCGGCCTGTACCTCACAGGTGGGTGAAGGGCCGCTGCCCCCGGCCAGTGCAGAGATTGCCTCGTAGAGTCGTCTTCTCTCAGGGAAGGGCCCATTTCTTGGTGGAGTTGTTAACTTTGGTTAAATCAGTCACTTCTAGGGTGGAACTAAGTTGATTTAGAAAGACCAGTGATTCCCTACAAGGGTCCTCAATCTCCATGTTCCCACCTCTGGCGTGCACCTGGGACACGTTCTACAGCAGCCTGAGACTTGTACAGCAGTGGTGCCTAAGTGTTTTTCTTTTTAAAGATTTATTTTTATTCATTTAGGCGTTCAAGAACTGGGGTGTAGGCCAGAGGTATGGAGAATGAGAGGATTCACCAGAGACAGAGTAGGGAGTGGAACAGGCAGGTGTACTGAAATACACCACTGAAGGGAGCAGTGGGGGAGACAGGGAGACTGCTGAACCATGTGGGTCAGCTCCCTGGCCCAGGATTGATCTCAGGCCATAATAGCCTGATAGAGCTGAGACTTAACCCCTAGGCCACCAAGGATTTTTCATTTCAATAGCTAGTTTAATGCCCGTGTTAACTCTTCTACCCCCACCTCCAGTTTTGCGCCTTGTGTGAACCAACTCCTTTCCAAATTTTCAGCTCTTGGCCTCCATGACAGCCACCCTGCGACCTTGCTGGTAACTAGATAACCCTCTGTCCCTGCACTGGAACCGGGGGCATCTGCCAGCTCTTGTTCTGAGCAAACTGCCAGGCAAAAGAGGGGACTAAGTGACTACAAACACTGGGCACCACCTATGTCCCCCCATCCTTCTCGATCATCTGACATGGCTGGAGCCAGAAACTCCCTAGCTTTCAGGGAAGGCAACTCTACCTGGTCATATGCGCTCTGGCAGCCTGATGTTGTCCAGGTGGTTTGAAACTGGCATATACCAGAATCCCAGGGAACTGGTCTAATACGGCCATTCCCAGGCCCCAGCCTCCCAGGATCTGTGTTGGGAAACTTGGGGGAGGGGCCTGTTGTACCAGGCTCCCAGGTGATCTAAGGAGCAGCCATCTTTGTCATTATTTGTGCAGACCAAGATTTTTAACACTCTCTCCAGTCTCAGTGAGGAGAGGCGTAGCGTGGCGGTTAGGGGACAGATACCCTTATAGTCATGGGAACGCAGAGACTGACCTTCCGTTTCCTTATGTGTAAAACAAGAGTCATAAGACTATCAATCTCACAGCTGAAATTTAAATAAGATAATACACTGAGGGTGTGCCTGACACCTCGTAAGGCCTCTATCAGTGGAAGCTGTATTTTTATTAACAGGACTTGCACCATTTAAAGGAGGCCACTTTCAATCTCTGAGCATATATATATATAGGGCTCTCATTTAACATTTGTCACGCCAGGAATCAAGCCACGTCTTCAATTCTTTATCTTTTAACAGAGCAAGTGAGCCTTGAGAAATGGAGCACAGCCCTACCCCGCCCCCCCACTTCCAGTCCTTGATATTTTGTCTTCCTAGTCACCACCCCTTTCCTGCCACAAATACAAAAACAATACCCCCCTCTACCCTCCCTATTGTCTTGAGGGGTAAACGCCAATTCAGCAACCCTATCTCAGATCTTGCCTGCCTTGGAGGAAAGCAAGTTTAAAGGGCAGTTAGCAAGTTGCCAAACCAGGAAAGCACACACTGCAGCCACACCTTTCTCCCTTCCAGAGCAGAGGAAAGGACTCTGACCCATGTGGGTGTCAAGGGCTGCGCCTCTGAGGGGGTTCCCCTGCCTGGCAGCCTCATCTGCCCATCAGAGCTTCCACCAAGCACTCCCGAAGGCAGAGCCAGAGTGCGCTGTCCCAGTGTACCCACAGGTCAAATCTTGAAGGATGAGTGGGTAACCACGGACCCTGGATTCAGGATAATGAAACAAAACTAAAGGGAATTCAAGGAAGCAAGGATGTGAGCACAGGAATAGGCACATGCATGTGCTTATGCCTCCAGGTAGGTGAGAGGAGGCTGTGGACAGCACCTGGGCCCATGGGGTCAAGGCCAAAAGCACCGCCTTAGTGCAAGTGACTTGTTCGAAGACATCTCTGGTCCCACCCTTTCCACCCTTGCCCGCTACAATCTGTCCTCCTCCCAACCGGGGTGTACTTCCTAAAAGGCACCCCCGCTCCCTACCACACACACACACAAACACACACACATAACTTCCTCCTGCCTAAAACCTGCAGTGGTTCTTCATTTCTCTCTGGATAAAGACCCATGTGCTCACCACACCTTACAAAGGTCTGTGTGGCT